AATAGGAATAGGAAGAACCTGCCACCATGTCTTTCTGATATATAGCTCTTAACCTGATTTTATTTTTTGGTACAAGCTGTTTGTTACAACTAAGTAAGCAAAACCCAGGACCATAAGAGGCTTGGTTGCAACTTTGTTCATCCATTCCACAGTCTTCAGTATTTTTCACTCTCTGTGATGTTTACTGCATTCTTTCCATTCTGGGCCCCTTAGGAGAGTCCTTCTGATGTAGCTGTCCTCTTAGCAGGCCTGGAGCTCATGTCAGAAAGCCTCAGTGATGTCCGGAGAGGATGGCATTTGGCCACTGTGTACACCATCACCACCATCATTTAGTATTTATGAACTACCACACACATAATTCTGAACTGAGCCAAGCATCGAGATCACATCTACTTTGTTAAAGGAATATGTAGTTTAACTTGGTCTGATAGTCTGCTTAGACCAGCTGTGGGTATGTTAGCAGTGCCAGCAACCACACATTCATATCAGCCTCACTATTGTAGAATAAATCCAGGAGAACATCAGACACGGAGTGGGAAAGTAGCCAGCAAAGGGAGAAAACTGCCAAGATGTCTGTCAGGACTCAGAATATGTTTCTGATTTGATTTCCACATTGTGGTTGTGGAAAGGACAATGCAGAGCTTATATTTTCACTCCAAATTTCATCACAAATGTCATATAAAAGTTAAGGCTGTCATCACATCCTAGAAGTGGCAATAAGTATTTCCCTCATTCCTCCAGCTAAGGAATACCCATCTCACAATTCTCTTCTAACAAGTACGTGAACAATATCCAGAAACCACCCAAGTTTCTCTTCTGTTGTCTTCTATATTCATATAAATTGTATCTAAATAACTCCAGTCACTATCACAGATACTAGAAAAGCAAATCGTTGGCTATTATATAGAACCAACAGCTCGAACAATGACTGGTTTTCATTCAGTATTTAACTTTTAAAGTTTCATTTCAAGGTTAGAGAAAGTATTAATTTGCAAACTAAAAAAAAAAAAATGTGCCATGTCACTGGGCATGGAGTCACATGTCTGATCTTACACTTGAGACAAAGGCCTGGGGTCAGGAGTTCAAGTCCAGCCTTGACTATGTAGTTAGTGAACTTAGACCAGCTTTAGTTACCCAAGACCCTATCTCATCCCCTATAATACCCAAGCAAAAAATTATCCATTTCCATATGGAAAACTACTTACAGATTCATCCACTCCATCATCAGCGAGGCACTGACATTAAATACAATCAAGGTAGTAAGCTGATAACGAGAAGAATATATGAAATTGTATTGCCTACAAATTGACACTTCAAGAAAACTGCATATAACTTTAAAGATAACTTTATCTTGTTGCATCCACTACAATCAAATGTGCTGTATATACAAATGCAAGAAACTTCCAAAAAAACATTCATAATGTGTATCTCATCTTGAAGGTCACTTTAGGAATGTATTTTAGTTTTAATGCTTTACTTTCATAGGAGCCCCCTACTGAATGTGATTTGAATTTGAGAATTATTATTTGAAAGTGCTTATATATAATGCTAAGTGTATTAGCATAGTTTAATTACAGTAAAATTGGCAGTATTCTCATGTAGATGGTAGAGATATACTCTCAGTTGGAATATCCAAGTAATTAGAACGCTTGTCCTTGACTTTTTATTTTAAAACTGAGACAAACAATGTTAGTGTTTCTCAGGACAAGGTATGTCATCAGAGGTGAAGATTTAAGGCAGACAAGTAGATTGTGTTTTATGGTAATGTTTTGAATGTTACTCTCATTCACAAAAATTATATCAATCATTACACAACAAAGAGAAAAAGAAAAAATATCCTTTGGAATTAACCCATGTAAGATGCATTCAAAATCATATCCTTAAGTCTTGTAAGACTGAAAACCTTACTTTAAAAAATCTTATTCTAAATGGTAAAATATATTAAACACATTAAATTGTGAAACAGCCTTGACAAACTGATGCCTGAGAATCAGGCTATTTATTCCTCCTGAGATTTTTTTTAAAATTTATTTTCATGTGTTTGAATGTTTTATGGTGTGTATGTCTAATGCACCATATGTGTGTAGTACCTACAGAGGCCAGAAGAAGGCATCAGATAACTGCCATGTAGGTCCTGGGAATTGAACCTGGGTCCTCTGGAAGAGCAGCTAGTTCTCTTAACTGTCCCCTCCTGAGATTTTAAACAGCTAATACAAGGACAAGTTACCTGGACTTCCCATTTCTCATAGAAGCCAGGGCATGGGTAATAGGTGCTGGATAACTGGACTCACTCTGACTCCTTCTTTACTCTTTTTCAACTCTACTGACCTCCAAGAAAGGGACAAAACCCACAGCTGGAGCTCACTGAAGCTTGGCCATGCTTCTTTTTGCAATGGCTCAGTGTAACTCCTTGATGCTAACTCTGAACTATTTCTCAGCTCTGCCTTGGCAAGGGATATGGAGAAATGACTAAGTCCTTCCATTGAATGGTTTATTTCTTCATTTACATGTAGCTATGAAATAAATTTTAAGACCAGGTGCTATCATTAAGTTTATAATTCTCCCTGGGGAAATTTTAAGGAAACTACCATAGATTTATGGAACAATTTCTTTACATCACAAAACTTACTTGAAAATATGAAAATTAAAAGAATGTGTGTTATCATATAACTTTTGGCCCATTTAAAAATGTACTCCATCACAGTGTTAAATTTAAATGATTGATGGTCAAATTACTTGGATGTAATTGCAGTTATAGAAACAGTGGGTTTTATTAACTTGAAATGAAATGCTTGTCTTGGTTTCATTAGTAGTTTCTACAATTCCTTCCAGTTCTAAATTTTATTATACTGATTTAGGAGCCTCACTAGTATGTTATTAATCCAATAAAATAATCTCTCCAAGTAATTTCCATACTGATTCTCCCTCCTTCACATACTAGAAAGAAAAATTACATGTTCTTCCTCATGTGAGTCAAGGGTCTGCCATAATATAATCACATCAATCATTAAAAAAAATGTTCATTGAAGAATGCTTAGCCATCATGTAGTAATGTAAATTTTGGTGCTAGCTCATTGCCTTGTTCCTAGTGGTAATAGGAAGGGGTCTGTTACGTTTTCATTTCTGCAAAAAAGAGATGTGGTGCTTGCTTGACCCATGTTGCACACAGGATTGATGGTGTCATGAGGACTGATTATTCGTGACTCCTGTATTGCTCAGGGAAAGTCAAGTGCATAGGAAGCTTACCTATGTTGAGCCATTTCCCTATGATTCAGTAAGCTCCTCAGGGTCTAGGGTTCATGGCAAACCACTGTATATAGCATGTAAGGAATTAAATGGTGATGACAAGGAGCATATTGTGTTCCTTGATACATTGTCTTCTTTGAAGTGTCCATGGTGGTTCACTGTGGCGGTGATGACCTGGTGTATGTGGTATCAGTTAGACACTTCAAGTAGATGCATCCAGCATCTACAACAATAAAAAAAAAAAAATAGTTATTCTCAAGATGGTTTCTAGGCAAATAGACAAGTTGAATGACTTTAGGTTTTGTCTTAGAAATAAACCCTAATACTTAGGGGAAATCTTAAAATCTCTGTTTCTGCTTTTTCTGGTGGGAACACGAAATTAAATTATTATTCCTTTTAGTTTCTGCCCTGCAGTAAGATAAAGTAATATGAAGACAATGATTTGGCTTTTTGAGGTTTGGCTCTTGAGAGGCAGATGAAAACTTCCCTAGAAACTGTGTGTACTGAGAACGATCTGCCATTTTGGGGGCTTTTACAGACTCTCCCCTTTCTCTAGTGTGCCTGCTGATGGTGTGTAGATGAAGATCCATGCATGATGATGTCAAGTGTCCTTTGCTAACCGGTGAAATTTAGTATTGCTTTGACCTCTCTGTCCCTGGTACATAGTTTATCAGGAGATTCATTACTTGAGGGTTGTGCTGCCAAAATGATTCTCACATCTGGGATTCTGCTTATACTTCTATTACCTTCCCCCTCCTCCGTCTTTCTATTTCACTCTCCATCTCATTTCCCTACATTTCCTCTTGTGTCTGTTCTCTCTTCCTAGAGTTGTCCTTTGTGTTCAGACCTACTTCTCCTCCTCCTTTTTCTTCTCTGTTCAAGTCATGGTTTTACCTTGTAGCCCTGACTGTCCTGGAACTCACTATGTAGACCAGGCTGGTCTTGAACTCATAGATCCACCTGCCTCTGCCTCCTGAGTGCTGGGATTAAAGGTGGGTACCACCAAGCCTCATTTTTGTATTTCCTCTTGATTGTAAGCTCTCATTCCCTTGATAGTTAATGAGTATGCCAGCCTGGGTTGGAACCACCTGTCCTATGTTTTCTGTGGTCATCATGACACTCCTTCTACACTGAATCATGCTAGTTGTGTTTGGTTTTCACTGACTCCAAAGTATAGGTGCTTCTGGGATCACAAATCCCTAAGAGGTTGTTGGGGTTGCCACATCAGCTCCTGGTTAATTCCAAATTAAGCCAGAAAACTAAAGAATGCATCTTGATTAATGCCTCAGTTTCATCTTTTTCCTCGGTCTTTACTTTCTGTGTTAATAAACAGCAAAGGGTTGTTTATTAGCCTTCCAGGACCTTTCAGGAATCCTCTGGTGCTGGCCATCTTGGCAAGGCCATTTTCACCATGGACCCAAAGCTTTATTCCCACTAAAGATTAAAGTGCCAGTCTCTGTTCCCCTGAAGGGTCCTCATCAAAGCAGTTGTGAACTTAGGAACCCACACTGAGTGTTGGTGGGTCACTTTACATGGCCTGGAGGTGAGTATTTATAGTTATTATTGGATATAACATGTTCTGCCTCCTGAACGGGCAGTGAGTAGCCCTCCCCTTACTGTCCTTCTCAGGAAACTTCCCTTCACAGTGTCCCAGGGTGTGATGATGCAGTGCTACACAGCATGCTTCTGCTTTCCCTTGTGTGATTAACACTAATTCAATAGTGCCTTCCTAACCGATGGCTATCTTTTCACAGAATAACGATGGCAGTATTGACTTCCGAGAGTATGTGATCGGCCTGGCTGTCTTATGCAACCCTGCCAACACAGAAGAGATCATCCAGGTGGCATTTAAGGTACTGCCAATCCCACTGACCGCATCTCTTTTGGCCTTGGAAATATGTGTTGACTCTAACTCCATTATTTGAAAAAATCAGTGAATCTGTTCCCCGAGTTTATAGATCTGCTGTGACATGTTCAGGGGGATAATGTGATTAAGTCAATTGCTACCGAGAATAAAGAAAACACGGGCATCCATTTAAACAGCAATGGAAGCAGCCTAGATGTGAGCATCCAGATCGAAGAGAGACCAGTGATTTAGCAAATTAATGTTATTTCTTTCTAGCCCTCTTTTGAAGTCCTGAAGTAAGATTTATAAATAAATATCACTCCTTGCCCTGCATCCTAATTCATCTGGAAAGTTCTGGTCTGTCCTTGTTTTTGCATCTGTTAGGACATTTGAGTGGGACTTTGGTGCTGGAGTTTATTTTGTGTGGTGATGTCAGGGCAACGTCATCATAAATGTCCCAAGTTTCTACCCTGCTTATCTTACTGTGCTAGCCAACATATTTTCAGTGTACTGCAGGGATTTAAGTTAGAGGGGAAAAATCGTTCTTATACCCAGCAAAGCCTGAAGATAATGTGTATTGTGACATTCCAGACCACACTTGCTACTTACTCATGCTGCATGCTGCTCACAATGCTGTATGCCCCTCATTAATTCTGTACACCATTCATTCATGCTGTACACCACTCACACATGCTGTAAGCTACCCCTGCATGCTGTACACCAAAGCGCGGGTCCTGAAAATGGAGCTGCTTCATCATTAATGTTTCATCACTGTTCCCGTGGAATTCTAAGTCCTTGGGGCATCTCTCAACTGAGACACTGCCTTCATCTCCCTTCTGGCCTTGCCAAGCTGGGTGCTCTGACTTGTACAGCAACAGCCTCAGCTTCCATGTAGCATAAATCAGTGACCTCTCCCATCTCCTCCTTTTCTCCCCCCTCGCCCCCCCCCGCTGTCTCTGAGACAGAGTCCCTACTGTGGCTCCAACAAGCCTTTCCCTTTCTCTACTACCTAAAAACTTCTCTGGCCAAGACTACTTTGTGTGTGTGTGTTTCAGAGGCCACCAGGGATGATTTTAAACAATAAATCATTGTTGGAAGTACCCATGAGGGCATTTTTCTATTGCAGATTGCTTTAAACTGAGCAAAGTGGATGTAAAGAACCTGAGTGATTGGTGCTTAACAGTTAGAATGATGCAGAGGCCAGACACTTTCCCAAAATTTCAAACCTTCAGCTTTTAGACTTACCCATCAAAAAACCCTAAAATGACGCATAGAACTAACTTATTCCAATCCAGACATCTCTGTTTCTGTCTTGGGGTTGTATGCATAATTACATGGTTAGCAGAGCAAATGGTCACTTTTGGTTTGCCAATGAAAGACCCAATAGAAAAGTTGGTCCTTAATCACAGTAATTACTATTTTTAAAGAAATCATGAAAATCTCGACCGTCCTAAACCGTGGTTTGAAGATGGAAGAGGGAAGAAAGGAAGACTTAAGTCTATAATTAGCTCATTTTTCTCTATGACAAGGGTCATGCTTTACACTTGTTTTTATTTACCTCTCTCTCTCTCTTTATATATTTATTTATCTACTTTTTTCTTTTTCTTTTTCTTTTTTCTTTTTTTCTTTTTTTTTTTTTTGAGACAAGGCCTCACTCTGTAGCCCAGGCTAACTCAAACTTGAAGTACTTCTACCTTGGCCCCTTTGAGCATTAGGGTTACCAGTACAGGCCACCACATCTAGCTCACACTAGTTCTCTACAGCTACTTTTCTAGGATGCTTTGTGAATATTTTGACATTTTTTTGTTTTGTTTTCAGTTAGTAATATGTTTTTCATAGTAGTTAGTATTCTGTTGCCTCCTTTTCTGTGGTAAGCACGTACAGCTAACTTAGTCTCTGCTGAACCCTGCCAGATGCTGTGTAAAGAAATCTAAGATACATAAGGGACCCGTAATCTACAGTTTATGAAAACCTGTCAATTCACTTCTCTATTTGCAGCCATCTCCCCCACCCCCTCTGCCTATTAAAAGCTCAACACCAGAAAATGGGTCAGAAGTCTGTCTTCCCTTCTTGGGGTAACGAATCCCAAGTCGGAGTTATGGATTTTTTTCCCTCTCACCCACTGTTAAATATCCACTTGCATTTCTTTCCATGATTAGCAGAGCTTAGCAATGCCACTTTTTCCATATCTTTGATCTAATGTTTTGTCTGAAATAGAGATTTCAAGCTTTTGGGCCTCTCAGTGCTGAACACCAGCGTTTGCTAACTGCCATTAGCAGGTTGTATCCCTGGGACAGAACTACCTACCTTCATTGGGTCTCAGCTGCCACATGTCTAAGAGGGCTGAGAGTGGCACCTGTTGGCAAAGCATACTGCGAGCATTAACGAACTTGATACCCTCGATCAGTGCCTGTAAAGAATAAATTCTAATTAAAACTTCTTACTACCCAGAGAGGATTTTCATTATTCCTTATCCATCATTTATTCCTCTTTCCCTGTCTGACTTTTAACCTCCCCAGCCCACTGTTTTCTTTCCACCTATAAGTATAATCACCATTTATGGTTGGTGTTAGCTCATTGTTTCCTGCCCTTTATTCTGTAACTTCTCAGAAATGCCCATGCTAGTTGTCATTGAGAATCACTTGTTTGTCCCTTGATTCTCATTACCACTTCCCTTTTGGTTCTCTGAAACTGGAAGCTTCTCTATCTCCTAATTATCATATCTAGAAAATAGTTTGTTCCCCTTGGTCTTCGCATGACATAGTCTGTTGTCTGTTACTACTGTCAAGTCTGTTCTATTAAAACCCACTGTTAGCTGCAGTTGACGCACAATAGTCTAACAGCTTCTAACTCTCAGTTCCTCTTCTGTCCACACATCTCAATGATGGCTGTCACAGGGCTCTGGCTTTACTCCGTATCTTCTCTACAGACAAGATGCACTGCACAACCCGTGGTTTCAGTTCTTGCCTGAATTTCTTCTACCTGGAATTTCATAAGCTCTTGAGCTCATAGCTGATTCGTCCTTCCTTCCTTCCTTCTCCCTTTTTTCTTTCTTTCTGCCTTCCTTCCTGTCTGTTTTCCTTTCTTCCTTTTCCTAACTCCTTTCCTTTCCTCTCTGTTCCCTCCCTCCTTCTCCCCTCTCTCTCCCCTCACCTCCTCTAACTCAAACTTAACTTCTCTAGGTCCAACTTCTGTCTCATTTGGCAGTAGTTTTTAGAACTGTTCTTCCTCAGTTACCCAGCTAGAAATCTCTGCCTCTTTGGCCCCTCCCCATCACTGCAACCCTTTCTGCAACTTCTGTCTGTGCTGCTTGTACAGACTGCCCGTCATGTCCTGGGTGTCTACCCTAGCCTTGCTTGGTTTTCTTGCTTGGAAAAGTCTTCAGCCCCCATCTTGTCCTACACAGTCTGTTTCAAAGGTCCCCTTCAGAATATATGGGATTATACCACTTCCACTCGAAAGTATTAGGTGGGACCATACCAATCCACTGTCATCAGTTTCTAGCTTCTCCATCAGTCTGTGGATCTAAGTCCAAGAGACTCACCTCACATTCCTTTTATCTTCTGGGGACATCTCTTTACTATGAGAGGCTGCTGTAATGACAGCCTTTGTGAAGAGGTAAGATCCATCATGTCCCTCGAGGGCTCCCATGCCTTTTAATATGTACTATTGGCATGGCCCCTATTCTAACTTTGTCTCTTTTCACTACCAAACTGCTATAGGTGTTAAAGTCTTATAATAGTAGCAGAGACCATTCTCTTGCTGCACATTCTCACACATGCATACTTTATGTGCATATGTGTATGTATATATGCATATATATTGTACAATAACTTTTTCCTTCATTAAAGTCATTATTTTACACTAAAATTGAATACAGTAGGCTTTAGGCCCACCCCTGTGTGTTGTTTCCCTTGCAGCTCTTTGATGTTGATGAAGATGGCTACATAACAGAGCAGGAGTTTTGCACCATTCTACAGGCTTCTCTTGGAGTGCCCGACCTTGATGTTTCTGGTCTCTTCAGGGAAATTGCCCAAGGGGACTCTGTTTCCTATGGTGAGTAGGCAATCCCAATCCCCACTCATTTATGAGAAGAGCATCTGGGCTATTAATTGAGAGTCAGATGGATGTGTTTCCCTTGGCTAACTATTGGTAATAGCAATGATGATAACAACTGTAATGTTATTATGGTGGTGATAGTAATAGCTAATTATTGAAGACTTACACACAAGGTACTCTTTTATGTTTTGTGTGTATAAACTTGTTTAAAAAATATCCCGTTTTGTTTTATTTTTTCCACATCTGTGTTTGGCAATGAACAAATGACTTAAGTAACTTTCTGAAGACTAGCCACGATTATCAGAGCCAGAATTCAAAGTCTAAGAGTCTGGTGTTAGAGCCTGTACCATTGAGTACATGTCGGTGCCTTTCATTTCTGCTGTGAGTGTGGCCAGGCTACCCTGAATAGGCTCATTGAGCTAGGCTGTGACTGCACTGGAGGAGTATGGACCAAGGCACTGACCACAGTAGTAGCTAAGTGATTTACTGAGACTTGCCCTTGTCATCCTAGAGCAACCCCCATGAGCGAGTGACAATGACAAAAGAAGGCCTGTGGTATTGTGGTATAGATATTGGCTTCTCCTCCATCCGGATGGTTTAAGACCATATATCAAAACAATGGTGGTGAATCACTTTCCTTGTGTTTCCCAGTGTAGTCTTCAATAAACATACCTCTGTGCAGAGGCCTAGGTGATTGTTAACTGCTTGGCTTTGATGTGGTCCTGGATGCTGGGCTGGTTTATCTTCCCCAACCTTTCCCCTCTGGCTGGAGAGACACTAATTACCTAAGTACACTGCCCTGACAGTGTTCACAGAGGTTTGGCTTATTAGAGCTCATGGGATGGGGGAAATCAGATCACATGCTTCCCTTATTCTGTATGTAGTTGCTGGCATTTTGTCTGCCCCATAGTCTCTTTTAGGTAATCACATACAGAGGGCCAACATATGTGTGTTGGGAACCACTGGGCCATCTCTCTAGCCCCAGAACTACCAAATTTTGACAGTGTTCCTTGGAAGATAATAATTTTAATTACATTTAAATTATTTGTATTTGGCCATACTTTTGTCAGCTTAACCAATCTGTTAGAGAATTGTATTACATTTTTTTTTTTAGATTTATTTATTTTATGTGTAGGAGTCTTTTGCTTATATGGATGTTTATGGACCATATGCATATCTGATGCCCACAGAAGTTAGAATAGGACAACAGACCTCCTGGCACTAAAGTTACAGATGACTGTGAGCTGCCGTGTGGATGTTGGAAGGCAAATCCAGATCCTCTGCAAGAACAAGAGCTCTTGACTGCTGAGCCATGTCACCAGTCCCAGGAAATTTCTTTTTTGTTTCTTTTTTTTTTTAATTAAATTTTTTCCACGTGATATATTCTGATCATAAATAATGCATTTATTTGAAAAATGAATACATGTATATATAGTTTGTTTTATCATAGCCACCTCTTATGTTATCTTTCTCTAACTCCCTCCAGGCCCTCTCAGTATATCTCCTTCTCAACATTACTTCCTTTTTGGCAAATAATCCACTGAGCCCAGTTAGCTCTGCACATACGCATATGGGTGTGGAACCATCCACTAGGATGTGGGCAGTCTGGCCGTCTACCAGTGACCAGAGTTTAGTTTAGTTTTTCTAGTTCAACTTTTTCTTTTAAGAATACACAGTATCTCTCCCTTCCCCTAATACTATGAAAGTCCAAATTAAACAACAACAAAACACTTTGAGGTATTTAAGTATTTTTTAAAATAAGTGTTGATATGTTTGAGTTTTGTCTAAGTTTTTGAACTTCACATGAATGAACTCTTGTAATCTGTGTTCTTTTGTATCTGGCATTTTCCACTCAGTGTATATAGTAATAAATTTATCATCATTGTTTGTTCATTTTCATTGCAGTCATTATGCTCCATGAATATGCTACAATTGTATTCATTGTGGTGCCATTTTCTTTTTTCCCTGTTAGGAATGATGTTGCTATAAGTATTTTCATATATGTCTCCCAGGTGCAATTCTTAATTTCCATAGGCTGTATAACTCAAAGTAGAACTAGCAAGACATTAAAAATGTATATTTACAACTAGATTAAATGTTGGAAAGCCTCTTACAGAGAAGTTGTACACTTTATATTCTCATCAGCAGGTTTTTGAGTTGAGTAACAGAATTCTGCAATAATTGCATGATTTAGACCTTTTGTTAAGTTTCAACATGCCCAAAGAAGCACCCTAACTAACTGATTTTTCCCCCTTTCTTCTAGAGGAATTCAAAAGTTTTGCCCTAAAGCACCCAGAATATGCCAAGATATTTACAACGTACTTAGACCTCCAGACTTGCCATGTATTTTCATTGCCAGATGAAGTTCAGACAGCCCGGTCTATTGCTAGTAATAAAGTCAGCCCCGAGAACCATGAGGAGGGCACCTCAGACAAAAAGGTCGATTGAATCAGTGTTCCCGATGAAGAAAGCTGTGCTCTTGCCGGATACTGGAAATAAGCAATGATGTCCAAAACAGAAAGCTTTTTTTTTTTTTTTTTTTTTTTTACTGAGATGACATATTTTCCTCTCTAAAATGCTCTCATTAATCTGCATATATCAAGCAAATTCCTTTTGTCTTATACTGTGCTTTTACTGGTGATAAATGTTGTATATTTGTATGAATTTTTCAGTTTAATTTCCTTAATAAACTCATTGGTCTTATTCTGTATTGGCCAGCATTAATCAACACCATGAGCTTAGCAAGTACAAATGATTTTCAGCCCTTTCACATATAATAATACTATGTTTTCTCTAATTACTCCCCTTTCTGAAGATAAGGATAAGGAATCTGAAAACCTTGGCAGAATTTTGTATCTTTATCTTTGCAGATTAATTTTCCCATTTAATTTTCAGTTTCCTTGATCACTGGCTAGGAGAGGGGAGTGCACCCTTAGGTAGATGATGCTTTCTGAAGTGTACACTCCCCTTGACATGCATCTCTATTGCAGGTTTCTTTAAAATGCCTGCTAAGGTCCTTTTATGAAATCCATAGTGTAAAAGAGGCTATGTTTTAAATGGCCACAAGCTGAGTGGGAATTGCCTTATTGAAGGGAACAGTGATTGCCTAATGAGAAAATGAATTGTTTGCTACAGAGTTGAATTGAATTTGAGTTGGATGGTTCTGAAGGTAGCACCTTCCCAATAAATAAATCAGATTTGTTCTACTTATATAATGGTCAAATTAGTATGTTTTAACATCGATTCAAGACAGAGTTTTATTGTGTTTAATTTTCCTCTCAAACTTTAGAGTTTATCAGAAATATCAACAGACACTTCCAATGTATCACCAACAGCCAAGGAATCAAAAAGCTTGGTTTGTCAGTGCATGGCTACAGTCTACATACACCCAGGCAGGAATCCAGCAGCAATATATTCCTTCTAGGTTAGGCAAAAGTTTCTCCAAATGCCATTTTTATTGGGATCTATGTCTGCATACTCTTAATGTCAAACACTTTTTGAGGTTTCGAATAAAGAACCAATTTATTAAAAGAATGTACAAAAATAACTGGTTACTCTTCTGCATTCAGGCTTTGAATCCAAGTCTTTGTTTGGGCTAGGTTTCAGAATCTATTAGACAGTCCACCTTAAGATAGAGTTTTAAAGTCAGTTTTGAGGCTCTGAAATCTCCTGAAAGTGCTGGAAACTATATTTAATCAAGGGGCATGACTTTGAACTACTTTCACACATGAAGCAGGTATCTTCTAAGTTAATGGCTAAATACATATTTGGATAATTGAGCAACAAAGTTTTATCCTTAAATATATGTAATTATTTGCTTTAATGTGTCTTAAAGCATTTTTAAGAGGCATTAGATGAGCTGAAGCAATTGCTTAGGTAATTAATTATGGTAAGTAGTGTTTGCACTGATGTCGGCCATGTGTAGGGAATTTATGTACTCGGGAGCACAGACAGCCCACAACGTTAGTTAATCTGCTAATCTTGAGAGATGACGTTAGGAGTTAGAGGCTTTCTGTGAGTTCCTCGAAAATGATCCTATCGTTTCCTGTTTTTATACTCCCACTTCTGTCAGTATGATGTTTCTATTTTATGATTTCATTGATGAACAAAGAAGTTCTATTTAAACTTGGCAACCTCAAACTGGTTTTATGACATTCATCTCAAATAAACTTTAACTTAATACCACAGTTTGAGTCTGAGCTCACATAAGTATGGATATATATTTGGCCATTTGTCTCCTGGATTTTATTATGCCCTGCTGAAAAAAACTCAGACTTTACCCATAGTAATAGTAGTACTGGTTTTGAGATTCCTTCACTTTTATTTTATGTCATGTGGGTGTTTTTGCCCGCACGTGTGCCTAGTTATCGTGTGTGTGCAGTGCCCATGGAGACCAAAGAGGATCCCCTGGACCTGGAGTTACAGATGGTTGTTAATTATTGTGTGGGTGCTGGAACCAAGCCTGGCTCCTCTGAGGCAGCTCTCCAGCCCCCGTGAGGTTTTCTTCAAGGAGCTTGACTTGACTGGCTATTGAGCAGCCCTGGGCCTTCCTGCCCTGCCATTTTCTTTAGAGAGACTTTTCTCCTCTTAAGATGAAAGATTAGAAGTTAAGTTCTACTGTGGTCATATATACTAATTTGTAGAGGGAAAATGAGAAATGTTTTTTCTTAAAATATTTAGTAAGCCAATCACATTTCAATCAAAATAGTTTTCTTGGGATATTATGATGTAACCAAGTTGCTTAGAGACCAAGATGTTTGTGTTATGTGTGGTTAATTTTCCTCTTTCGGTGCTAGCTTTAAATGGATATATATTTAAATTATATTTACAGCTGAATGTAGTGGTGCACTCCTTTAATCCCAGCATTCAGGAGGCAGACACAGGTGGATCTCTGAGTTCGAGGCCAAAGGGAGTTCCAAGACAGGCAGGGCTACACCGAGAAACCTTGACTCAAACAAGCAAGCAAGTAAACAAACAAAAAACCCCATATTCATTTATTTGGGGTGGTGGCTTAGGCATGCTGGGACCATCCTGTGTGGAGGTCAGAGGACAAGTTATTGGAGTCAGTTCTCTTACTCCACAATGTGAGTTCTGGGAAGTGAACGCAGTTATCAGATGTGGCTGCAAGGGCCTTTATTCAGTGAGCCGTCTCATCAGTCCACCTCTGGCGGGTGTTTAGAGGAGAGTGACTCCCTTTTAGAAGGTTCTACCCTCTGCAAGAGGTACAGCAGCAAAGCTACTTGATTCACAGGCTCAGGAATTCTCTCCATCATGGCATTCCAAACACAGGATGACTAATTGAAGGCAATGTGCTGTTCTCAATTGGGAGGAGGGGAGGATGAACTATATAGACAGGCCATCTACTGTGAAAGTCCTTAGATGTTTGGTCTTTATATAGCAGTCACAAAAGAAGATAATTACTGATAGAAAGCCATTTACTAGGAAAGCAAACATGTTTATGATGTGTTAGTCTTCCCTCCCCTCATACCCCCACTTGGATGAACTTTCTGTTTTGTTTTGTTTGTTTGTTCTTGCTGGTTAAATTGTTGTTATGTCAAATGTCTTCCATAGTTCCATGTGTTTGAATGCTTGGTCACCAGCTGGTGGTACAGCGTTGAGAGATGATGTAAATTTTGGGAGGTGGAATCTTAATGGAGGAGTTGTATCTCCACGGAGAAGTCTTGAGGTTTAGAGCCTGGTCAGCTTCTTGTCCTCTGTGCTCCTTAGTCCTAAGCAGCCCATTTGAATACTCAGTGGAGCATGGGTACTCTGTCACCAGTTCCAGTGAACAAAAGCTAGAACTTAGCAAATGGTAAAGCGTACAATTAAGTCACAATTTGCCTGATTCTATCAGCCATACTTTAACCACACTGCCTGCTTTACCCAGTTTGCAGATTTAACATTTGTCACGTGTTTTCCTACTTGTAGATGCTAGATATATATTGTGACTTAGTTCTTAAATGGAAAAGAGATAGACACCATTAAGGATGGTTCTGGGACCCGGAGAGATGCCTGAGTCCTTTTTCTGGGCTTCCAGTACTGACATGGAGGCTCCAAGCAGCTGTAACAGCAGTTTTGGGGATCCGATGCCCTCTTCAGGCCTCCTTAAGCACCAGCAAGATATGTTCAGAGAAACACTCGTACATACAAGAAAAATAAACTTAAAAAAAAAAAAAAAAGAGTTGTCTGGACAGTGGGCCATGATTGCAAAGGGGTGAGGCAGGCTTGTGGGAGGTAACATCTCCATCCTTCTTTATGGTCCCACCTTCCTGTGTGAATTCTCCAGGTTTCTGTAAACTAGAGGTGAGCTGAACTTCAGAATGCTACAGAAGCATTTCCCCGTGGGTAGTAGTGTTGGAGCATCGACTCCCCACTTCTCCCCTTCTACAGAGGTGCTGTTGCAGTCACAGGAGAGCGAGGGGGTGGGGAGCTGAGGGTCAAGGCATTCATTCCAGCCATTGTAGGATATTATTTGCGCTGCTTATGCTCATCCCCTCCTGCAAATTCTCTTGCCTTGCAGGAAGCATGGCAGTCATTTCAAAGCATGAGCCAGATATCACCTGTCCAGTTAAAGCTCAGCAAAGGCCACAGTTACAATGTGGGCACGTGAAAACATTCAGCCTGAGCCAGGTGGTGGCGGCCCACGCCTTTAATCCCACTTGGATAGACTGTCTCCCTGATCTTCCCATGGCTTTCCATACTTCAGGTTTTGAGAATAGCTCCACACAAGGCGGCTCACATTTCATACAATACATATTTTTGTTTATTCACGGGGTTGAGTAGCCATCACCACAATCTAATGTTATCACACTGTCATCTTCATTCAGATTTTAAATCAAATGTCATATCATCATTTGGGTATTGCCTGTCATCAGTCACAAAGCTATAGACACTCCCAATCCCACCACCATTCTTCTTGTCACACTTACCTTAAGTTAGTTACTTGTGAGCATTCTTGTTTGCCATTTCTAGTGTTTAGTTTTTAGGTTTCCCTGACATTTCATGTTTGCTGAAGATATAATGGTAACATTAACTTTTGTTTCTTTTTTAAATTAATTTTTAAAATTTTATGTGCATTGGCATTTTGCCTACATATCTATCTGTGTGAATGTGTCAGAACTCCTGGAGCTGGAGTTACAGCTATGTGGGTGCTGGGAATTGAACTCAGGACCTCATGAAGAGCGGCCAGTGCTCTTAACCTCTGAGACATCTCTCCAGCCTATCTTTTGTTTCTTGTTCCTCACATGGTATAAGGAACAATCTTTGCAACAAACTTGAGAATCTGGAATTATTACCTCTAAAGCTCACATAAAAGTTAAGGCCAGAGAGCTGGGTGGTGGTGGTGCACACCTTTAATCCCAGCGTTTGGGAGGCAGAGGCAGGAAGATCTCTGGTCTACAAAGTTACACAGAGAAATCCTGTCTTGAACAACCCCCTTCCCCCATCCCCCAAAAAAGTGAAGGCCAGAGAAGCTTTACTCCTTGTTGAGAGTTACCTAGCTATGAACTCTGGGTGGGAATTCAAACCCAAGGCTGCCTGGCTCTCCATGTGAGGATTTTTGGTTAAGCTACTGTAATCTGGACCCATAAAATAACCAAAGAACTACATGTCAGGCCGAAGCTTCCAGAAACATGGAAACTACATGATCTGAGAACCCTCCCCCCCACAAAGCTTCTAGAATGCTAACTATCACAAGCATGAAG